TTAATATTTATTACATCGTTAAGCGCGCATGCTAAGCCTCGCCTTCCCCACTCGTTCGCTAGACCAAGTAATAGAACGCATCGCCGCTATCTTCTTTTTCGAAATTAAATAGTTGAATTCACCTTAATGTTAATGTAGGACATGAAAATATAGCTCTTAATGTATACTCTCTCCAAATTTCGGCTCTTAATATTAATAATTAAGGTCACTGCGATTAAATAAATAAAAAAAATTATCTCAGCTTCTAATCAACTTACAACAACGATTTTTTTTTAAATTCGAAGAAAACTAAAGTATAGAGGTTACTATTTTATTTTATAATTATTACCTATCTTAACAATTTAATAAATATTAACATATTTTCAGTCATTTTTAAACAAATTAAATTTGAAAAACTAAATTCTCAGTAAATGCATAGGTCAATACAACTATTTAGGTACAAAAACAACTAATGATCGAAACTCTACGACGCCTGTGAGCTTCGGAAAAATGAATTGAAAACAACATCTTCTTAGATAACAAATTCCTCCAACGCCAAACCAATGAAGATTTCGGACTGAAATTTTTACCACTTATTAAGGGTGTAAAAAGCCTCAAAAATCCTGAATTACAAGTGTCTGCGATGAAAATTGCATTAATTGTTAGCTATTGAAAAAAACGGCAATTTTCGACCATTTTTGAGCTCTCGTGCATAAACAAATTATCGGAATTTAATCGGACTTTTCTCATTTTATAGGCTTATTTAATACCTAACTTTTTTTCGCTATAAATAATAGTTTTTTTACGTGAGTCAAAAAACCACTTTTCCATAACTTCGACCACTGTTAAAACAAAGTTTCCCAACTAGCCTCGAGTTGATTTTTTGATATTTTATTTATAACAGACTTCCGAACAATATTCCGCAGAGAAACTTCTAATAGTATTTTTTTCCCGAAACAGGCTTTTTCATGTCTATAATGACTGGGCTAAACTTCCAGAGTTAGCAGGGTTGTGGAACTACTGCGGAAGCAATGTTCTGCGGATGTATTAGGTTCAGGCAGTTTAAAAAAAATGGCTATTTTGCTAAATACATTTTTTCCAATCGATTGCACTGTGTATTTATTGACATTTAATGAAAAATGATATAAAACGTCAAAGTACGCAAATGACAAGCAAAGGTGTCGAGATTGTGAAAAACTACAAAATCGTGTTATAAGTTTAGGGGTCATATTTTTAGGGTCATTCATTTTCACATATGTTAGGCGATAAATTTGGTTCCAATTTTTGTTGTCTGCAAAGAACCTGTCTTCTTTGGTCTAATTCTTCACATTCACACAGGGTATAGTAGGCTGTTTCTGTTGTTTTATCACAGAGCTCATTTTTTATCTGATCCTGATCCTGATTCTTGCCCGAGGACAAGAATTCTACATCTTCTTTCTTGATTGTTGTTTAACGAACATTTTATTCTCTTTCTAGTTTTACATTTAATTTTCGTTTATAATCAACACCACTAACTTTGTTTAAATCTTTCGTTTGACAACTCGATTTTATTACCTCTATTTTCTCTTGTTTCGTACCTACCCTTTGGTTCTTGGAACACATTTTTGACTCGAATGTCGCGTCATCAAATTCTTTTACATTTTATCCACAAAACTGACCACATTCCAATGTCACATCACCATACAAGACGCCGAAAAAATATCGCAACGCTGACCTACAACGCCAACTCTGACGTTACGTGTTTAAATCGCAATCCAACGAGTTACGCAATTACGGAAACACAACATATCTAGCAGTAATAACTACCCATTAGCACCAATTGCCCCAGAACACGCAAAACCGAACAGAACGTGCCAAAAACGATCGTTCACGCTTTCCCGATGAAATTCCTGAAAATCTCGAGGCAGGCCTTGACAAAACAAAGTACACCTTAGAAGAGTAATTGTGGAAACAAAAGAACGCGGTACAGGGGCGTACAGGGTGGATTAAAATGAACCTGATGGTATAAGAAAGAACATACACTTAATCTGTTCCACCCTGTCTTCTGACTGCAATTATTCGAACAATGAAACAAACCCGCCCATTACTGAATAAAATCTGTTTATAATTACTATAATAACGTCCGCATCAACAATCTATTCGGTCAGTTTTTGTCCTTTGCAGTCTCCCACACTTGTATTGTCTTCGTTGTGAATGTTTTTCTTTCTGTCGAAATTTACGACTCTGATCTAGCCATCCTGCCATGCGTAACGGTTGATTTGTTTCTTTCGCGAGTTGATGAACTCTGAAAAACAAACGATGAACTGGTAGGATTCCATAGCCGACTGTTTGTTTTCGAGGTGGGCTCGCCGAAAGATGTTATTGATGGGTTCGTGTAATGCATCTATTAGTTACGGAATGGGCTCTCCTCGAATCGGAGTCAATGGCTTATTTTTCATAACGCTATTTAATAAACGATTAAGGAACTCGAACGAACAACGGAATTATGGGTATGACTCGTGAGTTGCATGTATAATTTCGAGCTTGTAGTAATAATTGTAAGCTTTCTTTGTCAGAAAGAAATATGTCAGGAAGTATTTGTTTTGAAGCGAGTCTAAATGTTTATTGTTGCTATTTAAAGGACCAGTTGAATCATCAGGTGTTATTCCAGTTTATATAAATAAGTTTCGATACAAATTTACAGTAAATCTGAATTCTTTGCACACCCCAAGGTCTCGTTCTTAGGCCACTTTCCGTTTTAATTCATATTTATCTAATTGACACTAGACTACTTCACTTTTAATCAAGAAATATTATAATTGTAGAATTTTTATTAAAAATAAAACCAGTTTCCGAGTACATATGGATAATTTAACTAAGAGTAAAGCATTTGTCCTTCACTAATGGAAGTATCGCTCTCTTCGTACTTTATGGCCTACCTCGTTATTGTAAGATTGACAATTAATTTTTTTTAGACTGTTTTAATAGCGGGAATGGGCATTTGCTAGGTGTTAAAGAAAATAATGATGATTGTTATGCTAGACAGCTCAGTCCATTGAATTTAATTATCTTTGTTACAACAGTCTTTACTGTAGGCTGTATGATTTACAGTGAAAGTGAAAAATAAACAAGGCCATGTCATTATTATTTACTATAAAATATGGGCCCAATTTTTTACAAAACGTTTAATCGTATAGTATGATGCTAACTAGTTACTGAGACACTTCCAGAAAGAAGAAATTCAGAATGAAGACCATGTCAATCTTTATATTTAAATGCAGTTCCAATGGTACTCCATCAGGAACACCAGGCTTGACCCCTATTAATTTTTCTTTTCAACAAGTGAAACAAACGGTTATTCTCAGCCTACTTTATAACGTATCAAATTTTACTATACTAGAACAGTTAAATGTTTAATTTTACAGCCAACCACGATTAATTAATGCTGTAAGTCGTTCAAAAGTGAATGGCTATGTTACTTAAGTCAGTATTGTGCGACATTCCATTCTTGAACGGTACTAATATAGCTCTACGAATTTCACAACCGACTTCATTTTAGATTACACATTGAATAACTTCTATAGACAGCATTTCTGCAGAATATGTACACATTCACCGCAAACGCAACAGTCCTACTGGGTTACGACGAACAAGACAAACAATTGCTCAAAATCGGAAGCAAAACCAATATTTGTTGGAAAAATATTAATATTTGTAGTCGCTAGTATCAGGGCGCCTCAAAGTTCTATATTAGACCCTTTTATATTTCCGTTTTCATTAACGATTTCTGTTTCACCCGGTTTATTTCAATTTGTGTCAAAATTTAAAATATCGAATGTTTACACCTTCTTTGTTCGAAATTTAATCTAAACGAGCTTCGAATATGTTAAACCAAAACAAACCGCATCAATACCAAACTTAATAGTCCGAAAATTATCGAGCCCATCCTGATGAAACCATTACCATCCTATTATCTCCTTAACAGGGGTATCGGTATTTTAATACCTCCCAAACGAAATTCGGCGTCAAAATAACTCCACAATCGAACCTTAATTTATAAACGATTAAATAGTGAGCGATCCGACAGTGCAGCACAACAAAAGCTCGAGATAACTGACCAGAATTCGGGAATGTCTCATTAAGAGCGAAATGCCAAGGATAACTATATCCGTGGCGCTACGCGGATACAAGAACGTACGGTCTTAAGAGGGTTCGGCTCCGGCCTGCCCTTCTGAGTCATGCAGAGCCAGTCGATTGTCTCTTGTTAACGAAATGTCACCGCTGCCTTGTTTTTAGTTAACCGTTCTGTTAAGAGCTGGGCTGGACTAATTTTTTCAACTCCCACGACGTGTTTAATGACATGCAAATAGAACAATTTGAAATTCAATACATAATTCTAAAACAGTATTTGGTCTAGAAATTACTTATAAACAAGTACCGTTGTTTCGATTAGTTTTTGCCTCCAAAATTTTGAGCGACAAGTTTGCAAAGTGGTAAAAAAGACACTTCCTTTATTTAACGCCTTTAACGTCTTTTTTAAGAACATTAGAAACATTATAAGATTCTTTTCAAATACGCCAAGGCCAGAATCTCTTAAGATTATACAATTCTATCCTAAGTACAGCTAGACTGCGCTATTTCTGTTCACCGCACCAGCACTTTGCGCGAAAGTTTCCGTTCACTGATTTTTTTTACTGTAAAACTGGATCTACGAACGGCCTTGCGTTCATAATCCTGTAATCAAGTTTTTACACCCGCCCGGTTTTAAGAAGGTTGTAAATATCACAATAAAGGAACATGATATATTCTCACTCTAATTTATCATAACAAGTCCCGCATAATTCGTTCCAGAATTCGTTCAGAATCATAATTTAAGTCAATTACCAAATATTTGTCGTATCTTCTCAAATATAGGTAACTTTGACAAATATTTGGCAAGTGAACACATGCTTTTGAATTTAACGACATGCACCATTCACGCGATATGGCATATGTACGAACGCGAACTTACAATATCAAACTAAATTTATTTTTCGTTTCAGTACAAGAACCGTCCAAGAAACAAAAGGATGGGACGTCTTCAGGGATCCTCCCATCAAGGAGGAATCTGGTTCTATGGCGAACCAAAAGTGTCTGGAGATCACCGTGAAAATCCTAAAGGTGGTAGCCTATCTAGTAACCTTCATAATAGTCCTAGCGAGCGGGGTGATATCGAAAGGAACCCTCTTGTTCATGACCTCACAAATCAGGCCCGACAGGGTCATCCAATACTGTAATAAGGAATTAGGTAGAGATAAGCAATTCGTAGTTAAATTACCAACGCCCGAAAGGGTGGCGTGGATGTGGTGCATCTTCATCGCGTTCTCAGTACCACAACTGGGGGCCTTGTTCAGATCGACGAGGATGTGCTTCTTCAAATCGTCGAAGAAACCGCCGTTTTCGCATTTCCTTACCATATTCCTGACGGAAACGGGTCACACGATAGGCTTGGCCCTTCTAATGTTTCACATCCTGCCTGATATAGACGTAGTCAAGGGGGCTATGCTTACCAACTGTCTTTGTTTTGTACCTGGAGTGTTAGGTATGAGGCGAAACTAGACCGCTTGTGGAACGCTTACTACAAAAATGTTTTTGCAGGTTTACTTTCGAGAAACAACAAAGAATCGCAACGATTCATCAAGGTGATCATCGATCTCGTAGCCATATCAGCCCAAGCAACTGGTTTTATAGTTTGGCCGATCATAGAAGGGAGAGCAGATCTGTGGATCATACCCATAGCCATTTTTCTAGTCTCGCTGGGTTGGTGGGAAAATTACATCTCCAAACACTCGCCTTTACCTTTTATCAAGAAATTAGGGAAGATCAAAGAAACCTTTGACCAAACTAGGTACTTCACATACATGTTCATATCCACATGGAAGATCCTGTGCTTCTTGTTGACCATGCTGTTCATAATCCTGGCCAGGGAAGGAGAACTAGGATTTGTTTTCACAGAGTTCTCAGAAGGTTTCAATGCTCATCCCATCACTATACTTGAGGTAAATTGAGAAATTTTGTAGACTCCAAAAATAACCGTTTTATTTCAGATCAAACCAGTTCTTGGCGGAACATCCCTTCCAGACATTTCCGAGATTATCCCAACTGGCGACGACACCGTGGTACCGTCCAGTGACATAACCCCGATTTACGTCTTATTGATCAACATTGCCGGTTCATATTTCGCTTACATCTTCGGAAAATTCGCGTGTAAAATCATGATTCAGGGATTCTCCTATGCCTTTCCAGTAAATCTAACAATTCCAGTCACAATATCCATGCTTATAGCAGCATGCGGTTTGAGAAATGGAGACCCTTGCTTCTTCCATGATACTATCCCGGATTACCTCTTCTTTGAAACACCCGCGGCTGTGTTCCTGAACGACTTTATTTCACACCAGCACGCCTGGATTTGGTTGTTATGGTTGCTGAGTCAAACCTGGATCACTATCCACATATGGACACCAAAATGCGAGCGTCTGGCGCGAACGGAGAAGTTGCAAGTCACGCCCATGTACGAAGGTAATTGTTATGGTGCACATTAATCTAAATGTTATAGTAATAGAATGTATTTGTACTTAGGTCTGCTAATTGACCAAAGTATGGGGATGAACAGACGAAGAGATGACGAAGCGGATGTGAAACCAGAAGACTTGGATGAAATCCAGAAAGAAAAGGCTGATGAATATTATGAAACCATCTCCAATCATACCGATGGATCTTCTCCGAAAACAGTTAAAAATTCAGACCACATAACAAGAATCTACAGCTGTGCCACTATGTGGCACGAAAACAAAGAAGAAATGATAGAGTTCTTGAAATCTATTCTCAGACTTGATGAAGATCAATCGGCCAGAAGGGTAGCTCAGAAATATTTGAGAGTTGTAGATCCAGATTACTACGAATTCGAAAGTAAGTAACGACATATTTACTGTAGCATCCCTTAACACTTACTACTATTCCAGCTCATATTTTCTTCGATGATGCCTTTGAAATATCGGACCACAATGACGATGACACTCAAGTGAATCGATTCGTCAAGCTTCTTGTAGCGACCATCGACGAAGCCGCTTCCGACGTCCATCAAACACACATCCGAGTTCGTCCACCGAAGAAAATACCAACTCCTTACGGGGGGCGACTCATTTGGTCTCTACCTGGTAAAACCAAGATGATCGCGCATCTTAAAGATAAAATGAAGATCAGGCACAGAAAGCGATGGTCCCAAGTCATGTACATGTACTACCTGTTGGGTCACAGGCTCATGGAACTGCCAATATCTGTTGATAGAAAAGCTACCATCGCCGAGAATACCTATTTATTGACTTTGGATGGAGACATCGATTTCCAGCCTTCAGCTGTGCTACTGCTTATCGATTTGATGAAAAAGAACAAAAATCTAGGTAACAATGGTTTATATATACGTCAACATTACCAATATTAATGTTCCTTTTGTTTGATTAGGAGCTGCTTGTGGACGTATCCATCCAGTTGGATCTGGCCCTATGGTGTGGTACCAACTCTTCGAGTACGCTATTGGGCATTGGCTGCAAAAAGCTACAGAGCACGTCATCGGTTGTGTACTTTGTAGTCCAGGGTGCTTCTCTCTCTTTAGAGGAAAGGCTCTTATGGATGATAATGTCATGAAAAAGTATACCACATGGTAAAGTTTTATAGCCATAGGTCATGTTTCATGTTAATAAGACCCAATCTTCTTTCAGTTCTGCCGAAGCGAGACACTACGTGCAATACGATCAGGGAGAAGATCGTTGGTTATGTACGCTTCTCCTACAAAGAGGTTACCGTGTCGAATACTCAGCCGCTTCCGATGCCTACACCCACGCCCCCGAAGGTTTCAACGAGTTCTTCAACCAACGTCGTCGATGGGTACCATCCACCATCGCTAACATTATGGATCTGCTCATGGACTCCAGACGAACTATCGATATTAACGACAACATATCTATGCCTTACATCGGCTACCAAATCCTTCTTATGGGTGGTACCATCCTTGGACCTGGTACTATATTTCTTATGTTGGTGGGTGCCTTCGTGGCGGCTTTCCAGATCGACAATTGGACCAGTTTCTACTACAACATCTACCCCATTCTCTTCTTCATGCTTGTCTGCTTCACTTGTAAATCTAACATACAGGTACTACTCCAATAAAAAATTATAACTTGTAACTAACACACACTTCTATTTTCAGCTGTTAGCCGCACAAATATTATCCACTGGTTACGCGCTTATTATGATGGCCGTAATTGTTGGTACGGCGTTGCAGTTGCGCGAGGACGGCGTGGGATCACCGTCAGCCATTTTCTTGATAGCCATGACGGGTTCCTTCTTCATAGCAGCCTGTTTGCATCCCCAAGAGTTTTGGTGTATCGTTCCTGGTATCATCTACTTGTTGTCCATACCTTCTATGTACCTTTTGTTGATTCTCTACTCCATCATCAACCTTAACAACGTTTCTTGGGGAACTCGAGAAGTTGCAGTCAAAAAGACCAAAAAGGTAAGACATGTTCGTTTGTACGTTTAGTTTTCTAAACCATATGGTCATTTTAGGAACTTGAAGAAGACAAGAAAGCAGCTGAGTTAGCGCAAAAGCAAAAGAAACAAAAATCCCTGCTAGGATTCTTACAAGCTGGAGGTACCAATGACGATGACGAGGGAAGTATTGAAATCTCCCTTGCTGGATTGTTTAGATGTATGCTTTGTACACATCAAAAATCTGGGGATGAAAAAGCGCAACTTATGCACATAGCTGATTCTTTGGACAGCCTTTCCAAACGTTTAGACCACATTGAAAAGTAATTTTTGATCACCAAATATGACCTCATGGAATAACAATTATTTTTTTCTTATTCAGAGTCATCGATCCAGTAGGACACACTTCTAGAAGAAGGAGCATGTCTGCTTCTTCCCGTCAAGGCGATCCTCATTTGAAGCCCGTCACCGAAGAAGAGGAAGAAGGAGAATCTTCGGTCGAGTCGGACTCTGAGACTGCTTCTACTCTTCCCAAAAACAAGAGGGACGACCTGATCAATCCGTACTGGATTGAAGACCCAGATGTTGGAAAAGGAGAGGTGGAATATCTAAGCAGCAATGAGATGCAGTTCTGGAAGGACCTTTTGGAGAAATATCTATTTCCTCTCGATGAAAACAAGGAGGAGAAGGTAACACTTTTAAAATAGTTGAAGTTTGCAGTATTTTCCAATTTAGAATATTCCTTTCGCGATTTTTCAAACATTGCTCGTAATAAATAAAAATTTGCTTATTAATTCGAGATAATGAACAGCAGAACAAACATTTCAGTAGTAGTTATATTAGTTATTATTGCTTTTTATGAGAATTACCCCATACCCATAATATGTGCAAAATTATAGGCCCGTATAGCATCAGATTTGAAGGAACTCCGAGACCAATCAGTGTTTGCTTTCTTTATGATGAACGCCCTGTTCGTGCTAATAGTATTTTTGCTGACCTTGAAAAAGGACTATCTTCACATCAAATGGCCGTTCGGCGTTAGAACCAATATAACTTACGACGAGAGCACACAAGAGGTAACTACACGGGGTGCGCACGATATTTTGTGGGTTTTCGTTCTCGGTTCTTACAGATACCCGCAGGGATCGTGCCGCTCCCCCCCTTTACTGCATAGCTAATGTGATTTTTTAACTTTTTACAGGACAGAATAGCGAAAGATTTGATCGAACTGAGAAATAAGTCAGTTTTTGCTTTCTTCATGTTCAATGCCCTTTTCGTGTTAGTCGTGTTTCTTCTGCAACTTAATAAGGATCAAATCCATGTTAAGTGGCCTCTCGGAGTGCGAACTAATATTACTTATATTGAGGAGACGGCCGAGGTATTTAAAGGTCTTTTTTGAATGTGTCTTCTGCTCTGGATTTTGGATACTAATGAGTCTCTTGACTTACTTCTTGTAATGTATGTTGTAAAAGCCCACAAATTGTGGTCCATCGACAAATCGGCAGTCAATACATTTACTTTTTTACCAAGACAACTCTTTTTGAATCACTGCTTCCAATTTTTAGACAACAAGTACGAGAAAATATCAAAATCAAACAATAAACATTTACGACTAAACGATTGTACAAGAAAACAGAACTTTACAGACAAATAGTGACCACATTAATATATTTGAATGGTACACGTCGAATTATATCATCCGAAAATGGACCACAATTCCTTGGTAGCATGTACAACACTAATTTACATTACTTGAGTGTGAACACGACTTTGTGATTAATACACTTCTCTTCTGCAAGGTTTTTTGTCTCACATAACACTATATGTGTTCATTAAATACACTGAAACACTACTAAGGTAATGCTTCACGCAGACACCGCCCCCACACACCTCCAATTGACTAAAACTGGGATTTAGTTGATTAAAATTTACAGCACGTTGTACATTGTCACTTGTGTGAAGGAAATAATCATTAACACACCTTCTGTTACATTTAATAATGCATTTGTATCCGTTTGCACCGAAAGTATACTAAGAAAATCCAATAAGGTAATTCTTACAATTGTAACCTGAGGGGTTATTTCTTTAATTATCTTCTTAGAAATGTTGTATGTTCAGAGAATGAAATTCAGACACTTACCATCTATTGCTTACGTAGAATGTAATCCAGTGACTGGCTATACAAGGTGACACTGAAGTTGAAAGAAACAAAAAGAAACACCAAAACTTTCCAGGAATGGGTTTAATAACAATAAAAACAAAACAAACAAACAAAATAACGACACAACGGGCTCGAACAACATTATTAATTAATTTATTTACACGCGACAGCATACCGAGATTCAGGGAATGCACGATCCATAGCAAAATTTGGAATGACTCTATCCATTACTAAATTAACCCGAGACTCTAAAACTAAGTCGACTGTTCAATGTGGAACCTAAGGAAGAACTGACTTTTTTCGTAGATCTCTCCTGAATTCGACACTTCGCTTCGACACGCCCATTTCTTGGGTTCAGAAGTTTCTGTTTTTATGTTATTGGTGGGCTCCTGAATATCGGGACGCTTTGGTATAACTATACTATGTTAATAATTACCTAATTGACTGGACTTACAATATAAATAATTCTGTGACTAACTGAACTCGCAGGTAACCCTAGCCTTCCTTTAGTGACTCCGTGTAGCAATACGGGTCGGATTAGTCAATCTTATTTAATCTATTCTTATTGCTTCGAAAATCCGCCTAAAAACCAGCTATTTGATCTATTATTATTTTTCTAACAACATCTAACAACTTAATCTTGGAATTCCAACGTTCTTTGGAATGCATTTCGCGCGTTATTTGAAATATCGATTTTTCTCTTTATACCAGTTGCTCAACACATGGCCCCGACAGTCTAAGTGAACTTCAAAAAGTTGTGTTCAAAAATATTGTTACATTTCATGAAACCTTCTCCGAAGGACGGTCTTGTGGCGACGCTAAACCTACTTGAAAACCCATAACTTTTCGATAAATTAATGTTGACTGAAATACTTTATTATTTTATTTTTTTTTAGCGTATTGCACCGGATAATCATAAACTGTATTTACTGATCTTGTGTAAACATTAAATTTTTAAATTTTTAAAATATGTCATTTGTTTCAATTGCATTTTTCCTTTAAATTAAAAGTACAAACTATAAGCTTCATAAATGATTACAAGCCTCGTGACCAGTTACTTTGGAACAGTAATTTTATTTTCTTCACGATGGCAATTAGATTTAGGTAAAATTAAAGCAGTAAGATCAAGATTACGTTAAAACATAACATTCTGTTTCACCAGTTATGATTGGTGCAATTTTTTGAGATTTTGTTTAACCAATCAGTGATCGCATCATTTCGAGAGTGAACGTGGTAGTTTGTCATTGTTCACTGTAAATGAATCAATATGGATGACGCTAAGACTTAGGCATTTTTAGTTGACAGTACCAGCCGTGCAAAGCTGGGTTGCCTAAGCTCTTAAGAATGACTTGTTAAGCAACACTTATCAACTTCGGTGCAAACGGGCATTATAACATCAAGTCAGCTATCATTAACGGTGTGTTACTTTATTAAATGTAACAAACTGTAACAGTCATCGCCCTCATACCCATATACCATTTCTCCATGTCACCCGTCACGAAACCAAGAACTATAAATTTAAAATAAATAATATTCCATCCAGTATTTTTCCCTGGTCTTCAAAGAGAAAAAAAAAAACGTTGTAATCATTTCACCACTAAAATCATAATCATCAAACCATCATTAACAAAAACATAAAAACATTCTTTGGAATGCAAAACTTTTTTTGAGAACTACTGTCGACTTCTGGATTCTTACAAAAACGGTTTAAATTGTCCTCTTCCTGTTGTCCTCTGTTGTTAACAGTTTGATCCTCTACCTTCTTTTGTGAATAATCTTAACAAAAATGTGTTTCTAAACTATGTGCACAAATCACTGGACCGTCTGTCGAAATCTTTAGATGTACAGATGGCGCCACCAAGTGATTTCTGTATATACTGCATGTATCTATAGTGTACAAACAAGTTTTCTCAAAAGAAACTGTAGTGTAAAAATTATGTAAGAATTATGTATAAAAGTAAGGAAATTGTAAATATTTTTGGGAAAACTCCATAAACTGATTTTCACTGTTGCATTTTGAAAGCTTGGTGTGTTTTTAGGTGCACATCACCAAAGAATACTTGCAACTGGAACCGATCGGTTTGGTCTTTGTATTCTTCTTCGCCCTTATCTTGGTTATACAGTTCACCGCCATGTTGTTCCATCGTTTTGGTACCATAGCCCACATCTTGGCATCTACAGAGCTCAACTGGTCTTGCACCAAGAAGGTAAAGTCTCACACAATCCAACTCAAACCATTATAATGACTACCGTGACCACTTACAGAAGGAAGAAATGTCCCCTAACGCTCTACTGGACAAGCAAGCCATAGAAATCGTCAAGCAACTGCAAAAACTGCAAGGAATCGACGGCGACTACGACAACGACTCAGGCTCAGGTCCCGACCGCATCGGCAGGAGGAAAACTATCCAGAACTTAGAAAAGGCGGCGCAGAAGAAGAGGCAAATAGGAACTTTGGACGTAGCGTTCAAGAAACGATTCGCCAAACTCAACGCTAACCCAGAAGGAGGTAAAAAAATAAATAACAGACATTTTATTAATTCATTCAAACCGAAACTAACCATGACTTCCATGCTTAGGTACTCCACTGCTGAGCAGGCGAATGACCATGCGACGGGAAACGATGAAAGCTCTAGAAGTGAGAGTGAACTCGGTCATGGCAGAACGAAGGAAGTCAAACATGCAAACCCTAGGCGCGAAGAACGAATTCGGGAACAATAACGTAGCTCAGAGAAACCACAGGAACAGTGTAGCGAGCAGTATACCCGCCAAGGAGGTGTTTGAGAACGGACACGTGAACCAGGCCTTTGAGGAAGAGACGACTTACGGGAGCAGGAACTCCTTGCCGATGCACCCGAGGGCTAACGTGACGTGGAAAGGGACCAATAGTAGGATGTAAAGGTTCAGAGTTTGGACTGTTAAATTATTTTTCTAGGGCTGAAGCAATTTTTATACCACTTTTTTAGTTTCAAATTTATTATCGTTGATACAAAGCTTCCCTGTGGCACGAGTTACTAAAAACGTTACTAAAAACTAAGTGTCAAACTTAACTATAGGAAATTACTTTTTTTTGAAGACTAGTTTGTGATATTGTATCGTTTTTTTTTCGCTGTGAGCTATCGACTCGAATTTTAAATTTAGCGCTTATTCAAAAATTTATAGCTAAATAAATTTTAAATTTTGGTTGAGACAACGACGATACTCTTTGAATACTCATTTTAATTGTTCGCTACTCCCAACTGCCTTTTTTTTAGTCATAATTATTGTAAATATTTTTTCCTAGATTTCCTTTAGATTTTTTTTTTTTTGTATTTTACCTCTAAATATTATAAGACTAAATAATATAAGCTCAACCTTTTTATACGATAAAGACAATTTTTGTACTTTTTTTTAGCGGTAAGATTATATTTATATTTTGCATTTAAGTTTGTGATATAAAAATAAAACATTTGTACATATGCGTTGGTTTAATTTTATAAAATAGTAAAAACTAAAACTTTTTATTTCTCTGACAAAACAATCCAAATTCAAACATTCCCTTTTAATTTTCACTAATTTTACCAATCCCAATACCTCTAAAAATATAAAAGTTACCTGTAACGTGACAAAAAATAATGATCACACTGTATACGGGATATAACTTTGATTGGGGGTCATACTTATATGGAGACTATATTTGACCTTCAGAAACACGTCATAAGTTTGTCAATAGTTATTTTTGTATTTTTGTAGTTAGAACGCCAAATGGTCCTTTTGCGTTCAAGAATGGAAGTTATTTTACCGAGCTTAGCGAGACAAACTATCCATTTCAGAACGCAAAAGTATTTCGCAATCCAGATGCAAACAATATTTTTTTCGAAAAGTGCAAATAAAATTGTGTTATAGGTATACAACAATTTAATTTATGTATGAAATTGTTTGAACCGTGTTTGAATCAAGACGGTTTAGATGCGGTGACTATCATAACGATAGCAACCTAATAAACAATAAAAATTAGTTGTTTGAAAAAGTAGTGTCAGATTTATATATTGCAATTCAAATTCTGAGGGTGTTTAATTCAAAATGAGCTCAGAAAGTGAAGACGAGCATTTACCAGGAGAAGTATTGGAAGCTGCACAAAGTGCTGTTTCACAATTAATCCCCAAAAAATCGTTGAGACAGTACGAGATTGTCTAAAACGAATTCAAGGGGTGGTGTAGTTCGAAGAAAATTCAAAAAGTGTACGAAGCGGTATTACTGGCATATTTCGAATATAAAATTAATAAAATTAAACCTTCGACTTTATGGTCGGTATGTGCCATGTTAAAAACTACACTGAATGCTAAAAAAATGTAAATATCTGAAAATTTCCAAAACTAATACTATATTTGAAAAGAAAATCAGTTAGACACCGTCCGAGAAAGTTCAGAATTCTAACGAAAGAAGAAATTGAGAGATTTTTACAAGAAGCACCTGATAATAGATTTAACTAATTTTGAACAACTTTTCAAGTCATTTTAATAATTAATTGGTGTTTGTGGAGCTTTGAGAAGAGATGAGCTACTAAAAATAACAATCGATGATATAAAAGACAAAAATTCAATTATTATTATTATAAGAATTCCCGATTCCAAATATCATACACAGAGACGTTCAAGTCCAGACCAAATGAAGACATACTGCAAATTCTGTGCTTTACGTCTGGCAGTTACTACAAGTCGAAGATTTTTTGTGTAGTATGTCAGGGAAAAAGGTTGGCGTCAACAGAGTAAGGAACGCGCCAAAACAAATAGCAACTTATCTCAATTTTCCTCATCCGAAACTTATACAGGGCAGAGCTTAGATGTTCTTCCGCCACTCTGTTAGCCGAAGCAGGGGCCAATATTACCACCATTAAACGACATGGAGGGTTGCCTTCTAGTACGGTAATGGAGACATATAGAAGATTCTGTACAAAATAAAATTTCAATTGCAAATAATGCAAGGTGCGCAGTAACCTTAAACAATTATTATTGTTTTTTTGTTCGTCTAACACCTTGTCATATCACATCAGGTGGATTGATTATGTCGTTCACCTAAATCTGATCAATATCAAAGGTCACTAAGATTATAACAAATATTTCTATTTAAAACTAGGAAATATTTCAAATCCATCAGATTAGCATTAAAATGTCACAAAGCCATACAAAAGTAATCAAAGTTATTTTCCATGGCAGTTTCACTCTCTGGTACCTTGTAGGTTTCACACAGTTGGATTAAAAAGGTATATCAGGGAACAGTGACAAGTGCTCATGTACAACAGAGATCGGGAGCTGCCCAGTAATGGCGTAGACGAGAGTCTAAAAAACGAATTATAACTCGATTACTTATTTCATTAAAAAAAATATATATGGCAACACCTACTATTATGTTTAAAAACCTGTAGGACTGTATACATATAGTATATCAAGTATTTATCAAGTGTGACTTTTATTTCTGTGTGAAGTCTCTCTTGATCCCTGGACATACCATCTCTTCACTGTAGTTGCCTGAGCAGTGGTGTTTCCAAACTATAAACAGAAACGGGCGCCCGAAGTAACCGCTGCCACTCAGGCGTCATATTGACCGATGCACTTTACCGCCGTCGAAAGAACGAACAAAATAATACTGTCACAGTAGAACATGATTTTCTTTTACAGAAATTTAAACTTGAGCATTCTTCATGCAAGAAATGTGCTCCTTTGATTTGTACTAGATTTTAATGTTGCTTAAAGTGATTTTAAATAAAATATGAAACAAAATTACCATGTTGCAGAAAATATGAGATTATTATTGGCTTGCTAGTTCTACATTTTGCTTTTTTTTTGTGAACTTAATACATTTACAAAAATAATACGATATTTACACTTACAGTTTTAAACTTAAAAAAATACCAAACTCAACAAGAAAATTTACAGAAATAAGTGAATAAAGTAAAAAAAAAGTAAAATATATTACTCACTTTTAGATGGTCTTATTTCGACACATCGTTCAAAATCGCTTTTTCGGAAAAGCATCATACTCCATCTGTTTTTGTCGCCGATGAGGTCCGAGTCTTCCTCCTCGGCGCTTTTCGCTTCCTCCTCCGTTTCTTGCCTTTCCCGCGTTTTGTTCCAGCGCCTTCTTGATTTTCTTCTGCCCCCGCACTGATTCTGACGATCTGTTGTGAATTACGAACAACCGTCGTCACAATTTCCCCCGACTCGACTACCTCGGATCGAACGATGTTCCCGTCCTCGTCCACGTCGTTTATAGTTATGAGAATGTTCTTCTTCTCTTCATCTTCAGTCATTTTAAAGGACTGCTCGCCGTCCTCAAACACCGAGAGAATGTAATTCGATTTCCCATCGTTGTCGTACTTTAGACTGTAATTCACACTATTGGCTTTATTGCTGAATTGCAACGACTCGCTTTTTATCATCTCCTGGGTCACCTCCAGGCTCTCGTAACGTACCGTTTGCAAGCGGTAGATGCCGTCTTGGTCCTTAAGATAACTGGAAGATAATTAAGTTTATCGACTGATTTTCAGCCGAAAGCAAACAATTCTCTTACCGGAATCTGGAATGTCCAGACGGCCAGTGATAGTTGTGAACCTTCATCAAGTGTTTTGTCAGGTAACCCCCCCGTCGGAATTTCTGCTTGCAGCAGTGGCACTCGTATACGGGGCGGACCTAAAAATAAGGAACACGTCAAGGTTCCCCCAAATAAACTGTAAAATTATTGCAAGACTCACTTTTTCGTGCACTTTAACATAATGATTGCTCAGACTCAATTTGGTTCGACATTCAAAATCGCACAATTCACATTTCATTATTTTCTCTCCATTGTGAGACCTCAGATGGGTCATCAAATTATGTCTTGCTACAAATCTAAAAAAAAAAAGAAATAATTTTGTTCGAACGGCACATTATTTATTACAAATTTAATGCCATTTTTAAACGAGGTTTTCCAAATTCACCTCGACCACACAAATGACTGCTACAAATTCAGTAGTCAAGAAATCCGATCGACATGAATTTAAAAAAAAAAAAGTTGTACTGCAATGGGAAAAACTAGAAAATATGGTGGCAAGTAAATGTTCGGACAAAAAAGTTTATTATTTAGTAATTCGTAATGTCTCCTTTAGACTTTAAAACAACGCGAACTCTCTTTGGCTGCGCATCGACTAAAGACCTATAAAACTCTAAAAGAGACAAGAGAGGGGTTTTTCGGAAGTGTCGCCACCCAGTTGTCTAACTATAAATATACCATGCTGACCAGGAACGGCACGGCACGCCCATAAACAAGATAATGCGTCACAAATGAGATTCACAAGAAAAATTTTTGCTTACGTTTTTGGGCATGATGTGCACTTATACGGTTTCTCCTTAATATGCTTGAATCGGATGTGTTTAGCTAGTATGGAAGGTTTCGGACACGTCATGTCGCACATCGTGCATTTATAATGGTTTATATGACAGCGCATATGTTCTCTAAGCAACCGCTCGCTAGGGAACAGCTTTAAACATTGCGAACATTGATAACTTTGCACTAAAAATACACTAAAATAAAAACAATCTCGGAATGCGTCACACTAAAGAGTTACTTACGATCAGTTGCCAGTTGCCTCTTTCTGTGATCGCCCAACTTGGTTTTGTTTGAAAAACTAGTGCAACAAGTGGGACAGGCGATAATTTTTTCCTTGGTATGCGTACGGACGTGTTCGCACAATTTGTATTTTGTAGAGAATTTCGTATTACAACCTATACAACAAATTAAAATCAACCAATGCTTTTAGAATCACAACAACTTTTTACCTTCCCAACAACACATTATGATTTCATTCAACGATTCATTCGACACACGAGGGTTGTTCTGAACATGTACTTCCATGTGTGAAAAAAAGTCATATATTGTACAATAATTAACCGAACAATATTCCCATCTACATGTATAACCTTCGAGCGACACAGGTATCTTGTAGTTTTCTTCCAAATTGCAAGTCGGCCAATCGTTTCTGTCCAAAACATTTTGACCGATGTTTTTTAACTTGGTCAAATAACCATGGTATGATACATGTTGTGATAGGAAATAACAACATGAAAAAGTGGCCTCACAACTGCCCCAAAGACATTCAAAATTTTCTAAAAGAAAAATTGCACTTATTTAAATCACTCGCATCACCTTTACTAAATAGTTACTGGGAAATAGAATAGCAAATAAAGCATTTTTATAAAGAGAAAACTTAAAAAGATAAATCAAATAATTTCCATACCTGACTTTAATGAAGCATGTTCCATTAAATGTGCATTAAATTTGTCCCAAGAGTAAAAAATTTCATCACAAGAACTCCATTCACAACTTAAGTTCAATATTTCTTTTGTCAAAGGTATCAAAACATTTTTTTTACATTTTACCTAAAATTTATTTCTTAAAATATATCCAAAAATGTCAGTTCTAACCTAAATTAACAGTATTTAGTACGTACAACGTCAATATATTATTTTCCAATTTTTTTTCATAAACTAGAAAAATAGAAGAAAAGTTTAAAAATACTACGACAGTGACGTCACGTTAATGCGCCTACAGACACAGTATCCAATAACGAACAACACAAGACATTATTTTGTAAGGTTACTGATCACGATAACAAAAACAACAACCTACTGAGTGCATCACGGTTTGACACATTGTGTATTTGATCTACTGCTATAACTACATTTATGCGATGAAAATTCGCGTTACTGCAAACCGCAAACCCCCCCCCTGAACGAGAACGTCAAACGTCAGCTATTTCAAGACTGATGATAGATTAAAATAGTTCATTTTAATATCTTTTTTAACAAAAAACCTTCTCGATGTGGTACAAATGTTGTCCAGTTTGAAAGAAAAGATTTTAAACGTCAAACAAAATGTTCCACTATTCAATACTGAAGGCAAGGAAATTAAAGAAAAAGAGGCCATAAACCTGTATGCGGGCGCCGATATTTTACAGCATTTTCAGAACCAGTGGGAGGAATTGCATCAAATTAATGAAGATAACGCCAAAAAGGCCGAGATTGTGGCACAAGATATCACTAAAATAACATCTAACATTACTTGTAGCAAGGAAAACTTGTCTTTAATTACACATATACTCTCCAACTCAAACCTACCAGGAAACATTGGGAACTGCTTAGAAAACATCAAAAGTTTGTATACACTATCAGATAAAATAGAAAGCGGATTGATTGACCTAGAAAATTTAATAGACGAAATAGAATTTGAGAAGCTAAAAGTGCAACATCAGTTCCACCTCCAACAATATGAGTTGAGGAAAGAAGAATCATTGGAGAGTTTTAAGAATACTTTGGAAGAAAACCATACAAGGAAAGTGGCCGAATATGAGGCGAAGAAGAAAAGTGTGATGGAAGAAAGGCAAAAAGCCTTCCAGGATGCTTTCAAAAGTGACCTAGAGGTATACAAAAGTCTGGGAACTTTACCAGAAATTAACCAAAGGAAACAAAACGGTGCGTTACTAGAAGAAATCCAGATCGATTATGATCCAAGTGAACTGGACCAATTCTTTAATGAAAATTCATGAAGGTTGTTTCGTAAACGATTTGGTCTAAACAACAGCCTTGTATTTTGCTAAATATATACTGTTACTGTACTGTACTATACTTAAATACTGTTGAGGTATTGTTAAATAATTTATAGTTTATTTTTTTATTTATGACTATATTGTATATGTAAAGTTTTCAATAAATCATGAATCAAACATATTTTCTTTGATAGATCAAACTACTAAGTACTTGAAAAAGAAATTTATACTATTAGAAATGACTTACAGGTTCTTCCTTTTCGTCGTCAATAACCAATTCGGATTCGGACGGAGAAGAATCTTCTAAATCGAGCCGATTCGGTCGAAACTTATTTTTCTTAGGATCCTTTTGTCTCTCACTAACATGCTCAAAAACTGCTAAACGACTTTTTCTTTTAAGTCCCCCCTCTGCATTCTCCATCTTTATCTTACTGATATTAAATAACTAATTAAAAAAATTACTCGGTTTCTTTTTCTACATACACCTGGACTGTCAAAAATGACGTTTTTACCGAGTGTATTGGAACAATGTCTGGAGAACTAACATAATTTCCATTTTCTTCACTTAATTCAATCCAGGGAAAGTTCTTTAAAAATGTGATTTTAATATATCCTACAACGGTTTTGTTATTGAAAGATTAATATACTCACTTCAAATGCAGGATTCTGATTGAACTCTAAGCTAGAATATGCAGTAGTCTCTATCCTAACACTAAACGTAGCATTATCTGATAAGTCCTCCAAATAGTTTTGTGAAGAATGCAATTTTAACATAAAATCTCTTAACGACTGTTCTAAATCTACCAAAAAAGGATCACTGAAACAAAAGCAAATAGTGTTTATGTGTCAGAAATACAAATACTAATGTAAACAAACCTCTCTACAAAATTTGTCAATTCTAACACTTCGAAAACATATTTTTCAAAAATTACATCGTCATGAAAACATACAAACAGCCTTTTCAATTTGTTGTTTTTGGCGTGAAAGGCGACAGCTCTTAAACACTGATTGATGTATTCATTCAGATCTGGATGAACCGACTGATAAACGACAACCCCATACTTCTTTTTGGGTACAAAAATTGTCTCTGGATACAGTTTCCTTATATACAAGACATTGTGCAGTATAACCTCAAAAAATTCGCACAGAATGTCAGCAACATCTAGAATATCTCAGTTTTAAGTAGCACTTGGAAGTTTTTAAGGAAAATCTTACTTATTTTAACAGAAGCCAAAGACATTTGATTGTCAACAGGTGGTCAAATAATTAAGTTATTAACAACTATTTTGAGTTTTTTTTTTCTCAATATTTAAAACATTGGAGGCAATATTCCTTACAACTTACGTAGTTCTTACACACTGTAGGCTTAATTAACAATTTAGAAAATTTGCCTGGTATTAGGCGTTCAAATTATGGAGGGTAGAGGTAAAAACTTTATTTTTTTAAACTGTTCTAGGTGATATGGTGAATGTTGCCAAGAATCTAAGAACCAATCGTCGCAACCCACGTTTTTGAGCCTATGAACTTATGTATTTTGCCTAGGAGAAATTAGAAGTAAGTTCTGTACTTAAAATATATACTAAAATTTTTTAGTTTTATTTTGCTCCATTTATTAAAAACAAAAAAAACCGTCGTTTTATTTAATTCATACAAGAACAGATAACAATAATTAATAATTAAAAAAACTAAGTGCTACATCAGACTTAACAAAATTGGTACAAAAGTATTAATAACTGGTACAATATGAACGGCAATAAAAAAATACAAAATTTATTTTTTGTCCCCATCACTCTTCTGCTCAACTGGTTTAGCTGGCTCTCCAGTTTGACATATTGGAATGGTTTTGTGTTCAATCTGCTTATCATCTACTCTGGGGGCACTTATGGTGAGCACACCATCCGAAGACAGCTTCGATTCCACTCTAGCCATGTCACAGTTCTTGGGCAGAACATACTTTCTCACGAAATGTCTATAAATTTGACCATGTTCGTCCGGTCTCTCTTCATGCTTACCCTCGATAGTGATGGTATTCTCCCCGGTAACTTTAACAGTTATTTCTTCGGGTTTGAACTGCTGTACATCCAAATTAGCTTGAAATTTGTCTTTATCATAAGTTACAGCCGATCCTGAATCTCGTTCGGAGGCTGATGATTTCCAGTTCCGGAAGTAACCAGCAGGACAACGAATTAATAAGCTGGGGACATTCATAGGTTGGATTAAATCGGTCGGGTCCAGCACGAGCCCGAAATGTTGATCCAAAAGCCTCGACGGCCGGAACAAGCAAGGATCGTCAAGGAAATATGGTAAGAGCGACATTTTCTGTAAATTTCTTTCACTTGCAACTCCGAAAACACTAAAATATTCGATTTCGCTTCGATTTATTTCTCGATTTGGCACTTTATTTGTTTCACTTGTTTGAACTGGGGAGAATCGCGCCTAAGCCTTCTTTTATACTTGATTGGATGATTCTGGAACTTTCGAGTACGCGATCTGCCATTAGATGGCGATGGAAGTAGAACAATCCAGAAAACATATGTTCATCCGATACTAAACATGTGCCTAGACAGATCAATAGTGATTTAATCTATGAAGTTGGATGTTGTCATTTAATTTATCAGATTTTTAACGGTACTAACTTGTAATGAATATCAGAAAAAATTACGCACTCTACTATTACATTCACAAAAACAAAAATTTATTGAAATAAAATTTCGCTTTCATGGCTCTTTATTATCAACAGAACGGTAAGTGATAACCATCAAAGTTTTATTCTTTTTACTGCTATTTTTTTCTAGAACAAATGGAGCCTTTTTAGTTATTTTTAACAAAGGAATTCCAAAGAATAATTTTGCACCTACATTTTAAATAAGTTTATCTTAAAGGTATTAGATAATTGTAGAGAATGACAATGACATAAAACTGCACTTATGTAGGTAGGTATTTTGAGGGTAGACGTTTTTTTAATAAAAAAATAATAAAAACGTTCTCTTATAATTTCAATTTATTGTTTGAGAATATAATTTATGTGCATAATAGAATATTAATTTATACTGAAGAACGAGAACTTCTATGATGCTTATAAGACTCAAGCCCATAACTAAAGACATCAGACCTCCGTAAGCACCTAAAAAACTGCATCACTCAGAAATATGCTTGTAATGATAAATTTTATTTCTTACTTATAACTTCAAACCAAGTAAAAGTCATATCGATCTTGTAGAGGCTACCAAAGCCATTAATAAAGAATATGTTTATCTTAGATATGTTCCTAGAAATATTTTTATACATTAGGTATATAATGTAAACATAACTAATGCCAAATATTCGCAATAAAGACGCAAAGAAAGGGTGTAGCTATAGCGGGCATCCCATATAAATAAAAAAAATAATAATAGTCTGACCTATTTGATTCCCCCAGAGGGAAGCTGTTGGTGTACATCTTGTAATAAACGCTGTCACACGTTGGTAAACAGTCACAGTTCAGTGAATCATGTCTTTCTAATTCTAAATTATCATCGTCTTCACCGTTGGGAAAATATCTAGTCCATTTTTCTACAAAAACAGTTTTCAGGAAGTAACTATATATATACATGTATAAATAATCTTGAACAAGTATTTGAAAATGTAGTCCAATTTTCAACAAAAGGTTTTATTATTAGTATAACTTTTTTAACAACAAAATTGGTTTGTGTCATTAGATAAAAGATTGAAAATAACAATGAAGAAATTTGAAATCAAATAGTTTCCTTGAAAATGTATTTATATTTTGCCAAATTCGGCAAAGACCAATAAAAGAGGAAGAAGAAGAATTCCAGTAGATCTAAAATCTGAATCGGTGATTTTCAGTTCCTAGCGGGCAGCCGACCAGAGCACACGTGTTTTGTGAAAGTGTAGTGCAAGGAGCAAATTCTACCTGCCTTTATTAAGGCTACCTGGAAAGAATCCCTTTCTTTCCTTTTAATCACCGACCTAATCCCCGGCTTAAGCATAGACGCCGTCGGCATCTTTGTTACAGCACCTGTGCCGGGGTTATGCCCAGGTAAGTTTTTACTTATTTATCAGTTATTTTCATTACTTTAGAATACATTTCTTTAAAATTGCGACCCCCGACAAACAATATACCAGACAGACAAATACACCAAAAGACACGTACGCCCCCGTGAGGGGGCATCCCCACACGACTAACACTTACACACCTTCCCCCCCCCACACACACACACATACACACCCCCCATACCCTCCTTAACCCTCCCCTCCCGCGCTAGCCTAAGGGCCACCTTAGCAAAGCGCATCCCAGGCTGCATAGCCGCACTACCCTACCCAACCATACCACACATAAACATGACACTACCCCCGGGGTTTACACAGACGAGCCGGCGAAGCAAGAAGAGCGCCAGAAGAAAGGGCCCTAGCCGGCGGGGCCCAGCCAGGACAAAAGGAGGTCCCACAAAGCGCCTACACCGGCCGCATTTGCGGTCGGGGTAGACGACGGATGGGGCCCACCTACGAAGGCTGTCCAGGCCTACACGAGATGAGGCAGGATAAAGAGGGATAATCCCCCTCGATCCCAAATCATTGAGGCCAATTTCTAGCCATAGAATAATGGCGCGGTGATTTTCAAAGATCAATTTGGCCGCGTTCAGCAGAAGCAGATACAAAACTATTTAGAAGCAGTTTGAGTTTTAGCATTGTATAAGTTATTTACTTATACAACGGTTTTAGTTTGTTTTAAATCGTAAACCGTTAGTGGTGTTTAATGATCTGCTGAACGGCCTATTTAATATTTATTTTGACATAACCTTGTTTTTTTTAACAAATTCAAATAATGAATTATCAATTTGAAAACATAATTTTTGAAAGATAATATAGTTGTTGGAACTGTACTGGCAGCAAATGACCTCTTGGAGCCCCTTCACGACGGAGAATTTTTTCCAAAGGATCGACGGTTTGTAATAACAAACATACTTTGTGAAACTATAGTGCCCAATTACACAGACTTACAATTTAGAAAACATTTTAGAATGTCTCGTGCAACATTTGAGGTCAGTAATTTTTAACTTAATAATAATAACTTCAAACTATATTATTCTCAAATAAATACTGTCTAAACAATTGTGTACTGTCGACATTTCCACAATCGTGTATTCGACACCATTATATACATATTTTACTTCGAAATATTCGAATTCGTTGTCTATTGCAGCAACAATAAGACACTTTGACATAACCACCATAAAACATAACCCAATCAGGAGCTGAATTCAAAATTTCCCGCTACGTTTCAACAGGTTTTCAGATTTAAGCGCTTTATTTTTACGCTTGCGAAAATGGCAACAGCTTAGAAAACATGTTTACATTTAACGTATTTTCAACTGTACGTTCAGTAGATTAATCATAAACAGTTTGCCAACGTTTGTATCTGTTGAACGCGCCCAATGGTACTGATATATTCTTCAGAATTACACGACTATGAATTTAGCCAGACAAACACTTTATCATTCATTTGGGGTAGAATAGACGTAATCAGTTATTGTTGCATGGATACATCTCTCTCGTATAAAGGATCAGATTTTTACGTACGAAAATATTGTTTGCCACAAGGGATATCAGTTAAAGTGCAGACACTGCAAAATTTGGAAGATTCAGGTTCAATAGGCATTACGAACGGAACACAGTTGCACAATGCCTGCATACTCCTCATTTTACATTCTACAAAGCAGTCGCTTTGCCTGTAGGCTCCAAACGAGGTGTTGGCCTCGGAGTCAAACATGCATTTCCTCTAAAATAAACATTTAAAACTTTTATTAACAACGAATTTATTACGCAAAAGCAAATTCGTTACCGAATGTATGGGAATAGATTTGATTTGAGGTGTGGACCTGATGACGTCAACTTCTATATTGAACAAGATCCGTTTGCCTACATCGACAAGATATTCCTTCAACGAACCGCTTAGCACATCGGGGAAATCCTTGCAATGGAAAAAATGCACTTTGAACCCGGTGGTTTCCAGTGTCGGATAGAAATAGTCGTCCACGTCATTATTTAGTACGACCTCCAAACCGTACTGCATGCCAGAGCCATGAGACACTTCTGGTTCTGACGGTACAGCATGTCGATTCTGATTTATATATCTAATAAAGAGAAAACAATAATAAAAATAACATTATCGTGAAATAGTAATGGCGTAATAGTTAACTTTGTAATTAAGTGTTTTTTAAACGTAATAAAAGAGCTACAATTTTTTTAGTAATTTGGTTTGGTTCAATTTCACAAAACTCGCTGTAAAATATATCAAACACGAATTAATAAAAGACAGTACTTACAAAGACGCTCTTTCGCTAGGCCTAATGTAGTTGAAAACGCAACAGACCCCATCAAACGTCATTCTTGTTAAAAATATGTCCTCACAAGGGTAATTCTGACTGTTCCATCGACACTTCTGCAATATCTCCTCACACGGTGTAGTCAACTGAATTAAATCGGGCACATTTATGGAAATTTACATATATAGTTACCATTTTCAACTTACCTCTATAATTTGCCCAGTTGGATCATAGAAATTGATCTCTCCGTCATATTTATCCAACATTTCCTGGACCTTTTCGAATCTTTCTTCGCCATAATTGTTAAAATTGTAGAGATTCCCGATCAGTTTAATATCTTCCATTATGGCCGTTATATTATTTTCTTTTATTAAGGGACTGCTGTTAAAAACAAACAAATAGTAAAAAATAAATGAGCTGCACCTTAAAAATCTGTAACTTTCGGTCATATTTGTACTTGTCCCACCAGGAATCGTCACTATCGATATCTCGAAAAGTACTGATCTGATAATTCTGAAAATTTGGCAACCTAGCAATGGCAGTAGGGTCAACACAGCTAAAATATTTAGAAATTTATGGCACGTCTGGTTATACCAATTGTTGACATTCTTGTTCCCCTATATATTATTGCATTTTCGGATTCTACATGAATTTGGAGGGTCACTTTATTAAATATTCCCTATATCTAGGAGTTATAGATTTTGAGATATTAATTTTTAAAGAAAAAATTTGATAGATGCAAGGGTCCCCGGAGAAGCTAGTAATTCTTTTCAGAAGCGCGATATCAATTGGATTTTTGGTACCGGGAAAGGGCATAGGTAACACTAAATTATGGCATATCAACAAATGAAAATGTTTAATACTACGTGTTTCATTTTGCTGTTACATTTTCATAGTGTCAAACAGCTATAACTTTGTTAACTTAAATGGTACACCATGTATTTTTTTACTCTGTCGTATGCAGATTGAAATTTCCTTTCAAGCCGTATAAGCATTGTTAGGGTTGCTGTTACTACTTTGAGAGATATTTGCAATTTTCTATTTTCTGTACAGTTTTTCTCATATCAGACCTGTTATCAAATTGGCCATGATCAGAAACACTCCAAAAACAATTGAAAGAACCTTACATTTGTCAAGTTATTTGTCAAATTATTATCGTGTGTGAAAATTTAAATACAAATGCTTGGGGATCGCTTAAATTATCCTAATGAGGATTATTTAAATTTGTTTGTTATTTATGGGCAATTCTTTACATGTTCTTGAAATTATTTTGTCACAATGTCTATAAATAACAAACAAATTAAAATAATCCTGATTAGTATACTTTAAACGATCTCCAGGCATTTTTATTGAAATTTTCAGAAAAAACTATTACAGACGTAACAATAATCTGACAACTAATTGTTTTTGGAGTGCTTCTAGTCATAGCCAATTTGATAACAGGTCTGCAGGTCTGATAAGAGAAAATTGCAAATATCTCTAAAAATAATAATGGTAACCCTAACAATGCTTATATGGCTTGAAAGGAAATTTCAATCTGCATACGACAAAGTACAAAAATATGGGGTGTACTATTTAAGTTAACAAAGTTATAGCTGTTTGAAGTTACCAAAATAATGTAACAGCAGAAATGAAACACCTAGTATTAAATGGTCTAATTTTTAGCTGTGTTGGCCCTACTGCCTTTGCAAAGTTGCCAAATTTTCAGATTGATCGGATCAGTACTTTCCAAGATATCGATAGTGGCGATTCCTGTTGGGACACCCTGTATAGGTACCAGATTTTAGAAAAATTATATTGCGCATACCATTATTTGATTTAAGACAGAAAAATACTTATTTATAACTGTGAATACTAATTATGCTGGAATTATTGAAAAAATGTGCAAACTTACAGTTTTTTTGCAAATTCGTAAGCTCGCTTCTTGCTTATTTTATTTATGTTGCAGATGGCAACCCCAGGGTGCTCCACTTCCTGAAGAGGAATAGTGCCGTCAAAATTGACGAAGGTGGAGTCCGTCATATACCACAACCACAAGAAGCGGATCCAAAGAATCGTTAGAAAAATCGTCACGATGTTTACCAACCCCCAAAATATTCTAAATTTGAGAAATTGTACTTTATTGGAAAAAAAATTAATACCCTTCACACGTAAACTTACTTTTCGTAGATAGAAATATGCTCCATAGTGAGAAAATTACACGCGTGGATGGTGGTGTTGTCAAAAAAATGTTTCAGGATTTTCCGTATGCTCTTTCGAGACTTCGCCATTTTATTTGATTAACTATTCAAGCTGAGGATTGTTTTAATGTTGCTTTTGTTGGAAATGGTGTGACAAAGTCATAGCATGACAAATAAATATGTGAAAAATAGAAAATTTCCGTGATAACATCTAACTCTAATAAATTTCATTTTATAAAAAAGAAAATGTGCTGAAAAGTAGGTCAAATTGATAAACACACAAGATATCCTCTGCGGCATTTAAATTATTAACGGGGACATGTTTGTAAATTATTATACAGGGTGTAAGCATAAAAAAATCAATTTAAAGATAATAACGTAAAATAATAAAGAGTAGAGTGCAAACTAATACGTACCTTGTTTAAAGAAGTCTCATTTCTCACCAGTATGTTCAAAATAAAAACAATTTATCCAAAATCTTGTATCAAATAAGTGGCACGGAAGCGGCCTTGAATATGATCCTTGTGGAACTCCGGTTGTTTGTTTAGTTGCTTTATAACTCGCAAAGATTTTGTGAACAACACATTACAATAAAACGCTCGCACTATTTACATTTTTATTCACAAATATACAACTAGGCACCCTTGGTGTGAATTTTCATGTGATTCTTTAGGTGGTGGCTCCTCCTGAACGACTTCCCGCATATAATACACAAATACGCTTTGTTCTCCGAGTGTATATTCTTGTGCTGCTTCAAATTCTTCGGATCCGCAAACGTCTTGTGGCAAACGTTACACTCGTGGGGTTTCTCACCTAACAATCATTTTTACGTGGAATATAACAAAAAAATAATTAATGGAAGAGTCGATAGTACCTGTGTGAGACCGTTTGTGAATGTTCAGGTAGTATACAGTGGAAAAAGTCTTCAGACAGTACGAACACTGGTGCGGCTTCACGGCGGAGTGAGTTTTGAGGTGCTTCCCCGCAACAGTCGACTGTGCGAAACATTTTCCGCAATGTTTACATGAGAAGGGTCGTTCTCCCGTGTGCACGCGCATGTGGGAGGTTAGTCGCCCACTTGACACAAATCTATAAAGAAAAACAAACTACATATTTCCTGAAAACGTACATACAATTTGTTTTTAAATAAGATAAATTGGTATTATAGAGCAGTTAATTTTGAACTCCCAAACTTGAATCTGAAGTTGTTTTAAGGTTGGTCAAAAAAGAAAAAAAAAGAAAAAATCTTATTTTTTTACTTTTTTTAGAATTGTTTATAAACGATTTTTTGAATAAAATTTTTTAAATAAGCCATTTCGATGGGAAATTCAATTCTCTACAAAATTTTTCCTATGAACTATACCGAAATTTTGCTTCGTTTTCGTACCTACTATATTTAAAAAACTGCAAAAGTGCATTTTCACCCCTATCTTCAATTTCAACCCTCTGGTTTTTTCATTTTTAATTACCCTTTGAACAAGTCATGTAATGAAAATCCTTGAACGAATCCTTCCTTTTTTGCAAAAAATGAGAATTAAAATGTATAAGGGTAAACACGACGAAAATTGAAAAATTGGCTAAGTTTGAGTTTGAGTCAATTCTCATCCAAAATTACTGTACAACCTCTTTTTTTGAAGGAAATTTTATCTACTTTTTCTTTATGAAGCAATGCCTATCGCAATCTTTACACAAAAAAAACCTAGAGGCAAAAAATTTAAAAAATTAGAAAATCGAATTTTTTGCTTTTTTCAAATTGATTAACGATTTTTTGCATAAAATTTTCCTTTTAAATTTTTTAAATAAGCCATTTCGATGGGAAATTCAATTCTCTACAAAATTTTTTCTATGAACAATAGTGAAATTTTGCTTTGTTTTCGAGCTACAATTAAAAAACTGAAAGGGGTGCATTTTAACCCCTATCTCCACCCTCTAATTTAATAGTACTTCGCGGTTTTTTCATCTAAAATGACCCTTTCAACGATTCATGCAATAAAATTGCTTGAACGTCATAGTTCCTTTTAACCCTGTTTTCTGGATGTAATCGATAGCCTACTAACTCAACCTAACCTATCGTCAATGATTTCTGTAGTCTTTAGAAAATGGTACATGGTCGACACAAAACGATATGAAATTTGTTTTGGGTAAAAACTGGAGTATATGGTAAAAATTATCAGTATGTGAATATCTGCCATTGTCGTCAAAAATTAGGTTAGATAAGGATATAATAAGTGAGGTTAGTTTAGGTTAGGTTAGATTAAGTTGGATTATTTTATAGTTGGATGAAACAAAATGCATAAGAGAAGATTCATTTTCTGCCAGACAAGGGATGTTTTGGAAACTGGTATTCCACCGTCTCGAAACAATTTCACATTTGTATTCAACAGGGGTCTGTCGGGGCAATCGAAAAAAAACATTAGAATCTTAAAAGTGAGAATGGAAAATAAGGAAGACATGTAGATATGTGAAAAATTAACGATAATGAACAATTTCAAGCAAGTACAAAATAATAGAACATTCACAACATGGAAGGACAAAATAAACCAAAAATACTTTAGTCCAAGCATTCTGTCACCGATTAATGTTAAATTTGAAGAAATTATTACCTGGACAAAAAAAATATGACCGTATAGAAAATTAAATTTTAAATTGAGTTTCTTGTTCTTTAAACTCGATCCAATATGGCGAACATGGTTAAAAAAAATCGCAAAGTTGAAAAAAACTGTTTTTCTAAAATAACTAAAAAAATATAGCACGGATTGAAAAATTTTAAATGAGAAAGTTGTAGGTTTTAAAAAGATCTATCGACAGATTTTTTGAAAGTATCGATTGCTTTGTTACTTTTCGAGATATATCGAAAAAACCGTTAAAAATCTTCTCTTTTCTCTTCTTCTATAACTCGTTTACATTTACGTGCCCATATTTGCTATTTACTGCAAGCATAGCCCGCGGCAAGCCAAAAAAGTACATTTTTGAAAAATTTAAAAATATTAATTATTTTTCGAGATATATCGATTTTTTGAAAAAAAGGCGCTCTCGAAAATTGGCTAGATCTTCTCAGCGGATAGCCCTACAGTAACGATTTTCGGTTTATTTTCTTCGTAAAGAGTTATATTATCATGCTGTTAAAAAATGTTGACGATTTTATTAATTTTAAGGATCAAAAAATGACTGAAAAAGTTGCACTTTTTTTGGGTATGTTTTTTTCAAATAACTATTTCAATTTTTATTATTTTTTTGTACTTAATCTGGGGTAGCTAAACACGAATATTATAGCATTTTCGCCTTAGAAGCAAAATAGACCCGTAAATGTTTAGTTTTCTTTCTTTAAAAGTCATTTTCATAAAATAAAAATTGAAATAGTAATTTGAAAAAAACATACCCAAAAAAGTGCAACTTATTCAAAGTCATTTTTTGATCCTTAAAATTAATAAAATCGTCAACATTTTTTAACAGCATGATAATATAACTCTTTACGAAGAAAATAAACCGAAAATCGTTACTGTAGGGCTATCCGCTGAGAAGATCTAGCCAATTTTCGAGAGCGCCTTTTTTTCAAAAAATCGATATATCTCGAAAAATAATTAATATTTTTAAATTTTTCAAAAATGTACTTTTTTGGCTTGCCGCGGGCTATGCTTGCAGTAAATAGCAAATATGGGCACGTAAATGTAAACGAGTTATAGAAGAAGTGAAAAGAGAAGATTTTTAACGGTTTTTTCGATATATCTCGAAAAGTAACAAAGCAATCGATACTTTCAAAAAATCAGTCGATAGACCTTTTTAAAACCTACAACTTTCTCATTTAAAATTTTTCAATCCGTGCTATATTTTTTTAGTTATTTTAGAAAAAACGTTTTTTTCAACTTTGCGATTTTTTTTTAACCATGTTCGCCATATTGGATCGAGTTTAAAGAACAAGAAACGCAATTTAAAATTTAATTTTCTATACGGTCATATTTTTTTTTTGTCCAGGTAATAATTTCTGTAAGCATTTCTCTATAATGCTTGGACTACTTACGATCCACCAGAGTAACAAACGTTTAAAAAAATATACGTTTTAAGACGACATTTAAGAAACGATGGCAGAAAATAAAAAATTATATTCAACTAATACAGCTCATATACAGGGTGTGTATGTATACTTCGAATGGGGTCATATTTATATGGAAGCTACATTGCAACACAAGCTAGCAACAAGCAGATACCTAAGTGAGAGCTATGACATGCATTTTTGTTGTCAAACCTTATTATTTTTTATTCATATGATTTTCCATAACACTCAGAAATTTAATAATGAAGACACACACACCGTACAAAAGACAAGTTAATACTTCAAGCAAGAAAGTTGCAAAGTTAACTCTTGGTATATTACAAACATTTCTATAAACTGAAAACTAAAATAAATGTAATAAAGTGGTGTCATATTCGGCCATTCTTATTTTGCCAAATTAATGTTGGCTGTTTGTTTTTTGCCTATCAGGGGGCTACCCTGTTGTCATATCGCATCAGGTTATAGATATTATACAGGAAGTCCCACCACGAACTCCATCGATGGATATCTGGGAAGCCGCTCGAAGGATTTTTTTGAAATTGTGATGGTGTGATACGGACTGTGAGGCCTACCAACCTAAAATGTTTTCAAGGTTATCGTACTTCCGGTTATACCGGAAGTTGTACTAACTTTCTTATTTTAAATGGAACTCCCTGTATATTATTGGATTTTTGGAAAGAGCATCCATTTTTAAGTTGAAAACATATTGCACACTCCATACTTAGGATTGACCGTTTCCGAGATATTTTGATTTTTAAGCAAAAATTGACAGATGCAGACTGTCAAGCAAAATTTATAGTGTTTTCTATTATTGCTCGCAGAACAACCTCAGAGTGCTCTGTTTCAGATTCGCGTGTTCCTTTTGGCGCTCGCTCTCAGAGTGCGCGTTCCATTTTTGCTCGAAATCTGTGATGGAACGCTCCCAGGGCGCTCTCTATTGATCTGAAAAATTTGTCGGAGCAAGGGAAATGTAAACAAAGCGGCCATATTTAATTTGAAGGTTTGAGTTGAGTAAACATCACAGGCGATTTGTTTTTTTCGTTTCGTGTTAGTTTTTTACTTTTAATTTGATATGAATAGAAAACGTCGGTTGTGTGAATCAGTACATACGTTTAAAATTGTTATGTCGCTACTTTGACTTGTTTTATCTTTTCTATTTCAATTGATGACAAGTACTACAACACAACGCACAACGAAATCTTCTCTAGCTGAAGGAAATTTCGAGGTTATCTTCCCTCTACTTTTCCAATGTGTGTTTCATTTTGCTCTGAAAAGGATTGCTCCTGCTCGGATTCGGAGTGCTCCGTAACAGAACTTATAACGTCACAGATTGCACTCAAAGCACTCTGAGAGCAACATAATAGAAAACACTATTAGTTTTCCCTGAAACATAGGTTTATTTTTTTGTGCAAATTGGACATTTTGTAGAGGAAGACCTAATTTATCGAATTTGACATGAAAATTTTTCAGTTTTTATCTTTATTATCTATATTATCTATATTATTAAGGTGATCAAAAAAAATTATCGAATATGAAGTTCAGAAAATGTAGAAAACTCGAAATTTTTAAATGGCAACCCCTAATTATTTTAACGTAATCGCATTCTGCACTAAAATTAAGTGTAACTTTGTTAAAGTTTCCCTATACCTAAACCCAGTGGTTTTCATTTTATTTACGAATAAACATTTCCCTTTTCTTAAAATGATGTTTTCATCTGTTTCGCACATTTTAGGTACACAACATGACAACTGTCACAGGTTTTAAATTTCAAATTTATTCAGTTCCTTGTAGGTCAGTGCTCTAATAGAATCCGGTGATATATGCTATTTTATTTGGGACACCAAAAAATAGTGTGTATAGTACTCCAGTAACAACAAAGTTGGGAAGTTGAAAGAAGGCATTTTGAACATTAATTAAAATAAATTTGACAATTAAAAGCCTGTGACAGTAGTTATGTTGATTGTTATTTACCTGTCACTGCCAACCTAGAATGTGCGAAACAAATGGAAACATCATTTTAAGAAAAATGTTAAATAAAATGAAAACCACTGGGTTTAGGTATAGGGAAACTTTAACAAAGTTACACTTAATTTTTGTGCAGAATGCGAATGCGTTAAAAAAATTAGGGGTTTCCATTTAAAAATTTCGAGTTTTCTACATTTTCTGAACTTCATATTTGACAATTTTTTTTGACCACCTTTGTATAAAAACTGGAAAATTTTCATGTCAAATTCGATAAATTAGGTCTTCCTCTACAAAATGTCCAATTTGCACAAAAAAATAAACCTATGATTCCAGGAAAACTAATTTTTGCTGTCTGCATCTGTCAGTTTTTGCTTAAAAATCAAAATATTTCGGAAACGGTCAATCCTAAATACGGAGTGTGCTATATGTTTTCAACTTAAAAATGGATGCTGTTTCCAAAAATGCAATAATATACAGGGGGTTCCATTTAAAATAAGAAAGTTAGTATTGACTTCCGGTATAACTGGAAATACGATGACCTTGAAAATATTTTAACTTGGTAGGCCCCACGGTCCGTATCAAAATACTACAATTTCAAAAAAATCCTTCGAACAGTTTCCTAGATATCCATCGATTCTAGGTGGGACACTGTATAGTTCACCTAAATTAGATCAATGTCAGAGATCATCGACACTGACATTCACAGACTAAACATAGTGCTTTAAAAACTATTTTCTATTAAAAATTAAAAAATATTTCAAATATATCAGAATGACTTTAAAACAACATGTCGGAAATGTCATAAAATGCAAATGTTTTAACAAAATTATTTTCCATTGCAGTTTTGCTTTTTGCCACTCCTTTAGTTTAATATAATTTGTTTAAAATGATAAATTTGAAAGAAACAATACTAAATATTACCTCTAACAAACTGATCCACACTTAAAATAAACCATTCTCACCTAAAAGCGTTTATAAACGGTGAAAGTTTCAGATAAAGTGAAAAAAATATCTACTGCCCTAAAATGTGTAAGCGCTTTCGAGACATCAAAACTAAAGTGTCTAACAGAAATTTTTTCAATACAATTATCGAAAAATTTTATCAACTTTGCGTTTACCTCATATTGCACACTTTACAGCTGTACGGTTTGTCGCCCTTATGCCTCCTGATGTGTATCGTGAGGCTGGAGGAATGTTTGAATGCCATTCCGCAAATCGAACACAAATGGGGTTTCTCGTCTAGCTGTTTAGCAGTCTTTTTAGCAGGGAATTTGAACTCTTCGTGTTTTCTCATGTGAACCGCCAACGAACCCGATTGAGTAAAAGACGCTTGGCACACAATGCAACAGAAGGGCTTGTTCCCCGTGTGCGCCGACATGTGTCTCTTCACGTCTGAAACTCTGAAACGATACCTATAATTTTATTTAGAAGTATTTAAGAAATTATTAAAAGACCTAACATCAACAGAAATATTATTATTACCTGGTGAATTGTTTTTGGCATATTTTGCACTTCAACTTTTCAGAATTGGAATGGACCTTCATGTGCCTGAGCATTGTATATTTAGAACGGAATACTTTGGTACATTTAGAACAACTGAAATTAGGGCTTGATTTTGAAGAATTTTGAACATTTTCAGGATATAAATTCTCATTGTGACCAAAATTTTTATCATTACTGTCATCACTATTTCTACAATCACTTACAGCATCATAATTACTGTTGTTATTGCCGTAACTATAAGGATCATTGCTTATATCGTCGTACTGATTGCCATAATCGTCTTGACTTACACACTCTGTTTTTTCTACAATTATTTCCTTTTTCTCCACTACTTCTTGTTTATAAAACACGTCATTTGTTGTATTTCCTTCCAGTAACTGAGAATCACCTCCTTTCATACAGGAATACGGTAAATTTCCATTCTGATACATCTGACCCAGTCTTTCGTGAGTTTGGTAACAAAGTTGTCGAAACAAGTAACATGCTGTCAGTTTGTCCAAGCACAAGTTACAAATATGCTGAGGATATATATCGTTGCTCGTTACCTAAAGTTTTAATAATAACTTATTTTAAAGTAATATTTACTTTATAAAATATACCTGTATTGAAGTACACTTCAGAAGTATAGAATTTAGTGGCTCTTCTTTACCTCCGATATTCAAAATGTTAAATAACGATGTAAGATCGTTTCCTGAAGTCATGCAAGTCCTACACAATTTATTTTGAGATAAAACTTGCTCACTCTCCATAATTTTAAATTTGCCGACAAAAATATTTACATTTTCCAATATTTTGACAATTGACACTGTTGACAGATGTCATTTTCGGGGTAGTTGAGGCGTTGGTTTTATTTAAATAAATAAACAAATAAATAGAAGCATTCAAGACAATTCAAGATTAAAACATGAAAGGAAAAATTTCGAAAAAGATCGTTTGACAAAAATATCTTAAGATTCCATTTATATTTTGGACATTTTCCGGGAATGAATTGTTGATATCAAGACGTCGATGAATTTGGGACTCAAAAATTAACCAGTAAATATAAAAGGTGTGTAAAAATTATCCTGAATAAATTGCCAAGGGGAAAGCTAATCAGAGGTAAGTAATTTGATATACAACAGATCGTTTATAGTAGTGAATTGAGGTTAAGGTTATATTTTCTTTTATTTTACAAGCTTTGGCTTCTCTGAGGTGATAGTACTTTTTATCATAATTTTATTTGCATTTCTATTAACACTTATTTCTCTTAAGATGCAGTCTCAACTTGAAGCAGCATTATTAGGTCATAGTACTAATTTAAACCATGACGACGACGAAAACAATTACCCAGAAGAAGAAACGGAAGATAACGAAGAATTTGATGAGGTTTCTTTTGTTTTTAATTGAGTTGTGATTTGTTTCATAGCTTGCTAATTGCATGTCCCGGTTTGCAGATTTTAATATTTATATCTTATGGTTTTTTTATGTTTAGGTATTATAAGTACCTACTTGTCTGACTAACACACTCACATGTTTTGTTCCCCTTTTTCCAATTTTTAGATTTTGTCCCCTTTAGTTTTGGAACCGCTTAGATTATCTATGTTTTAGGACGTCGATGGGGACCATGGAAAAGGTCACAATAAGCAGTTACACGGCAAGGAATCTAATAACAGAACAGTTACCCTGCAGATGTTATTGTCTGCAGGTATCCTAGAGCCTGGGCCTGGTACTATGACTATTGAGTATCTCGTAAGGATAAGAACATGTTTAGCGTCTAGATTTTAATGTGTGGTGTATTTTAGGGGCAAAGATTTGTTGGAGATCTTCTAGGAGACGGAAAAATAAAAAGCCAAGAAACCGACGTGGTATTTGCGTCTCCAAGTGCTTGGGCCATAGCTTGTAAACGATTTATCAACCCCGATAAGAAATCGGGTTGCGGCTGGGCATCTGTAAAATACAAAGGCAGAAAACTGGATGCATACAAGAACGTGTGGTACAAAAAGAAGAAAGAAGAGGAAAAACTTGAGAAAGAAAGTTAGTATAGGTGTATTTTTTTTATTTTCAGTGTAATTCTCAAAAGAAGGTCTTTTTCTAGGTATAAATCTGGAGCAGTTACTGCAGAAGAACATGTCGAATTCCCTGATGTATCAAAGGATTGTTGTGAAACACAACACGATTGCCAATAGGACTTTGACGCAGTAAGTTTTGAGTGTTTGTGAACGTGGTGCGATTTATAAGGTGAGTTTTATTTTTAGTGATGCGAATACTATGATCGACTGCGTACCTTTTTCCAATCTGGGCAAAATTCAGCCGTTCCTGGTTTCTCTTTCGACGAACGCCGCACTGTTAATGGATTTCCATTGCCACTTGACAAAATCCGAGGTATCGGGTTACTTAGCCGGCTACTGGGACGTAAACGCTCACAGTAAGGCGTACCTAATTGAATGTAACAAGTAATTCTCTCACGTATTTTTTAGATTTGCAGATAACTCACGCCTTTCCCTGCCGTTGCACCAAAACGGACAGGGAGAACGCTCAACAGGTCGAACTGGAAATATCCAAGGCGATCGACAGAGAAAAGTTGACTCTAGTCGGGTGGTACCATTCCCATCCGTTTGCAGCAGCGGCTCCCACTTTGAGGGACGTAGATGCCCAGTTAGATTATCAGATCAAAATGAAAGGAACGTCGGACAATAATTACACTCCCTGTGTCGGAATAATTATTTGTAAGTGTATGTTTAATTTTCCGTAACGATTTATCTCTTCTCTTAAATCTGCATTTACGCTTTGCCGGTTATTTGAAAATTTATTTGTAAAAAATTACCGCAAATGCATTGCATTAATTTATTTAATTATAAAAAATGTATCTAAATTTCGATACATTTAGTTGTAAATTGCTGTTTTTCACACGAAACAAAGGCCATAATAATTAATTATTCCATAAACGGTATTAGTGAAGAATGAATAAATTTTAAGATTTAGGTGGAGTTTTTTATACAAAATTAACGTTTCTGATCACATGATGTTGCATGTGCATCCAATTTTTTTTTAATCAGAAATTGGACTGAAATAACAAGTCACTATCACTCAAAACCCCAAAAAACCCGTTTAGTGCCCTGCACTAGAAAAAACCTCACGACGAAGAAAGAGACTTACCTTAACTTTTGAATCGGTGAGCCCCGCACTGACTTCTTTATCTAGTCCGTCTTAAAATTTTACCTGCCCAAACTATCTCAAGTCAAGTATAAATTTTGCAAATTCTTCGAAAATTTTTTCTGTCCAAAATTCCTACCAGGCGAACTATCGACGCCATTTCCCGAGTTCCCTTTCCGTCCAGAATTCTTACAGGCTGCGAAAATTTTGTGCAGCATTGGGCACTTCGTCCACAACGCTCGTTTCCTACGAGAACTTCAGCCTAAAGAGTGACCGCAAAAAACCTGTGATTTTCGCTCGTTCTTTCACAATTCACAGAGAATTTAAAACAATACATAAAAATATGTTTTTGTCGCAAGCTACTTGTCGTAAAAAACTGAAATGAGCATAGCTTTTAGTATTTTTAAAATTTTAAAAATCACCCCTACTTAGGGGTTGAAAAAATGCGAAAAATGAAGAATTTGAATATTACCAATTAAAAACTATTATCATGTGAATTATCTTAATATATTTTTTTTGTATCTTTACAATTATTTCTGATATTCTCTATTTTTGTGGATGATTCCACCCCCTGAGCGCGCTTAAGGGTAGATTTTCTAATCCAACATGCTTATTACAGTCATGAGAATAAATCTTTCAAAAAACTAAAAGCTATGCTCATCTTAATTTTTTACGAGTAATTTGAGACCAAAAACATATTTTTATCTGTTTTCTTTAGTTCTCTGCGAATTGTGAAAAAACGGGCGATTTTTGCGGTCAATTTTTGCTACCTCGCGATTCACAGGAAACAAAGCTTACCTGTCGATAATTTTATGACTAAACTTACCAATGTCTCGGATTGTTGCTAGTGAAAAATGGACTTTAGCATATACGAGTATTTATATCATTAAAATGACCTCTGTGGTTCTCTCAAAAACGTATCAGTGAAAAGTACAACATATTTTGCTGTACCAGCCTTTTTAGAGAGCTAAAATATGCCCTATTTTTCTTATCTTTAGTTTCGTCCAAGTATATTTTTTCCGCTTGAGCCAACAGTGACATACTACTGTCAGTTTTTCCTTTACACGTTATATGTTACGATACATTGAATGGTTTCCGAATTAGGTATTTATTTCCTTTAAAATAATCGAATTCGTTCACATGCATGCATTAGAATATAACACACTAAACGTAAAAATTAGGTCATATAATAAAAATTCCCAGTTAAGCAGCTGTAAGAATTTGTAGGAAAGAACCTTATCTCAAATGTTTCCTACAATATCATTATTTGAAACCTTTATTTCGCTTAGTGCAACACTAGTTTTGTTTTTATACTACCTATGAATTAGTAGGTCGCTCTCTGTTAGTACATACAAAGTAATGCTTTGTGGCAGTAGGTGTTGAGTAACAGTGACATTTAAGATATAATACACTTTGTAGGTTATATCTCGCCTACAGATATTCAATATGTCGTCACATTTTGTCAACATACAGGGTGTCCCAGAATATGTGGGCAATCGCTCAGATTTATACAAAGGACTGAAAATTGATTTTTTTAAATAACTTTTAAAATACTTTGTGTAATACAATTATTTTTAGAAAAAAACAAATGTAAATAAGTGTTTTTTTTTTAGATAGTCAGAAGAAATTTTTTTATTTTTCTTTACGGATTTAATAAAAAACATATTAAATATTTCTTCTCGGAAACAGTTCATTTTATCGATATCAACCAAGAGTGCCTTTTTTTAGTTTAAGGTTTAAGTTATCTAAAAATATTATTTCTGTGCCTTTATCTTAAAGGATGTAAAAAAATGACATATTTCTTTCAGGGGTCAATTTTTAAGGAGTTTTATCTGTTGTCCATTGTATTAAAAAATAATTTAATCACACAAAGTATTTTAAAAGCTATAAAAAAAAATCGATAGGGGGGACCTTTAGGAAAATTTTTATAGGGACTTGTCATGTTTAACATCCCCTGTATAAATCCGAGAGATTGCCCACATATTCTGGGACACCCTGTATAAAGAATCGTCTGCTTTGCACAGTATCAAAATTTAATAAATTTTCTGTTTTGATTTATTTGTGTAAATAAACTCCAAGACACAATTAATGTATCGCTAAAAATAGGCCCCAAATTCAAAGTTGATTTTGTTGGGAATGTCTTATCTGATTTTGATGCTTTTTTTTAAATTACTCTCTTTCAGTAACACCACTAATATAGACATTTTTAATGACATGTCTGTTTGATTTAAACTGTGGTCTTGTATTTTCTGAGCGATTTTTTTTATTCCTGTCATTATTTGAGATACACAGTTAAATTAAATCACACCAATTTATGAGAAAAACTTAGAATAAAGAACAAAATCAATTAAAAAAAAACAAACGGGGAAAATTAATAGGCACTATTCTAATAATGGCTTCACATCAACGACTTATACTTGAAGCTGGATATTAATGTTTTATCAATCGGTGTTCTTTTATCTGTATCTGAGTACGATTTCAGTATCGTCAAATTTATGTTTCTCAATTAATAACGTAGTGATGTGAGTAAAACAATGTATTGATCAGAAAAATTGGGATTACAATCCGATTTAATTGAATAAACCTATAATTATTATAAATAAAGGCAGTCAAAACAACACTTGTTTGTGCAAAAATCAATTTCGAAATTGGGCCGATTACACAGCCACGCAAAAAAAGAAAAGTTGTCTGTACTTTTCATGCGACATATGTTATCTGTAGTATTATTGCCCCCTGATCACGAATCCGGTGTCAGAATTGAGCTATCACATCACAGGAATTTCCTATCCTCAAAAAACAGGTAAAAAATTGCAAAAATTCATGAAAAAGTGCTACGAAAAATACAAAAGTTTTTTTTGCGCGGTCAGAATTAATGGTTCTTTTTCTAACCTCAAAAAAACGGGTCAGATATCATGAATTTTCAAACAATAACAGATTCGCGCCAAATTAGGTATACGGGGGTTTTCTGGGTCGCTGATCACAGATCCGACGTCAGTTTTGCAAAATTCAAGAAGGCGGACCAAATTATCAAAAAATAACGTATTCTAGGTCAAAATTGCGAAATTCATTTTGTAATATTTTACTTTACAACCTGAGTACCCAATCATGTGTTAACATACTTTTTTCGGCTATATCTTGTTCTTTTTTCTGTAAAAGATCTATTCACGGGTTGAATTTTGTAAATCTGATCTCGGATTTGTGATCAGTGACCTCGAAAACCCCCTTGTACCAAATTTGATGCGAATCTGTTATTTTTTGAAAATTTGGTCAGCCATCTTGGATCCGCCATCCTGAATTTTGCAAAATTGACCTCGGATCCGTGATCAGCGACCCCGAAAACCCCCGTATACCAAATTTGGCGCAAATTTATTATTTTTTGAAAATTCGTGATATCTGACCTTAATTGACCTGTTTTTTTTTTTGAGGTTAGAAAAAGAACCATCAATTCTGACCGCTAATTCACGTTCGGCAGGGTCTTAGCTATATAAATGAACATTTGAATATAGAAAAAAAAGTTTTTCTATTTTTCCTAGCAATTTTTTGTGAATTTTTGCTATTTTTGACCTGTTTTTTGAGGTTAGGAAATTCCTGTGATGTGATAGCTCAATTCTGATACCAGATTCGTGATCAGGAGGTAAAAATACTACGGATAACTTATGTCGCATGAAAAGTACAACAATTTTTTTTTGTGTTACTGTTATTACTGGTGCGTTAATGATGTGAAACATATTTTGGACATTTTCAGCACCGTACAACTACGAGAATGCCTCGCTGGAGTCCAGCATCATCGCTTACTGGGTGATCCCGCCCCCCGAAACTAAACCGAACGAGTACGGCCGGCCTATGCTCATGTCGTACAGCGTTATACAGGACTCCATACTCACCCCGAACATCAAAGACGAGATGATGAAGTGCGTCGAGTATTACAGGAAAGAAAACGATTTTGTGAACTTCAATGAGCGTTACTTGGGCACCACTTGCTACATCGACAAATTAAAAAGCACCCTGATCTCGAAATTCCCTCGGGACGAAAGCGAGACCACTCTGTGGCGTTTTATCCGAGAGCAACTGGGTATTTCGTCTGACGAGAAGGAGACGCTGTTGTCGATACCGAACGTAAGCAAATCCAGCCAACTTTTACCCAATTTAAACACCCCCGTGAGCCTGAGTTCGAATCTGATGCTTCCGACTGACATATCCAGTATTTTATTCAATTCCGGGAAGTTTCCCAGCGCTAGCAGCCTCCTAGGACTTCCCGATCCAATGGCGCACAGCACCCTAGCGGCGAATAACATGTTCCTGCAAACAAACTTGTTCAAAATGCAAGAATTACTAAAACCGTTGTCTACGAGCAGTCCGATAACGGGTAAATCGAAAACCGACCACAAACCACACTCTTCGTCTTCTTCTACCCCATTGAAGATCCCCACGGACATAAAACCTTCGAAACCCTCCGATTACTCCATGGACATCCTCGGGTTGAAGAGCAAGATGGACTTTACCATGCCGGACTTAAATTTGTCGAAGATCGGCAAGGAATACTCCATGACGGACTACATTTCGAACCTCAGCAAGCTTTCGAGCGGCAAACAAGACTTCTCCGTGCCGGATCTGAGCATCGGAAAGTCCAGCCTGAGCGATTACCTATACGGCGTGGGGAAGCAAGGGGATCTGGGCGATAGGATGGCGAAGATGCCCAAAATGGACTATTCGGGGTCGATGTTGGATTTGAGCGTTTCGAAGGGCAGCGCTGCGTCGGAGAATGTTTCTGACACGCCAACAGACTTGAGTATTGGAATGGGGGATGGCGGGACGTTCATGGGCGGGCAGGAAGCGGGCGAGGATAAGCCGTTGAATTTGGCCGGGGAATAGAGTGGGTTTCGGTGGATGTAGAGAGACGGTTTATTAAATTTAGGTGTTTTTATTCGAATTATTGGAGGTGGTGACGCGATTTTAATGCTTTTTCGAATAATAGTTTTCGGTGGCATAGGCGGGAATCGAGATTTTGAATTGTTTTTCCAGCGCAGTCTGAAATGTCGATAAAAGAAATTTAGCCACCAAAACAGAAAAAAAAAACATTGATATTGTAAACTATTAAGTGGTAACGCCACTTGAGAGGTTGCGAAAAAGGTGACTTTTCGGGAGTTTTCAAGGAAAAACACTAAAATTTTCTGATATTATACCGGATGTGTCAGAGTTGAAGTAACAAAGGCCTAGGGAAGATTCTGCTCAGCAAAGTAAAAAAGTAAAAAAGGTCATATGGACTTAGGTCCGTAAGTGCTTCGTTTCCGAGATACAGTGTGTTAATTGTTTTTAAAAAATTGAGTTTTTAAAAAAAAAACAATTTGAATAAAATTTTTACGGTTTATTAAAACAATTATTGAAGGTCGCTTTCGGTGTGCAGCAAAATAAAACCCACTCTCAACGGAAAAATAAAAGTATTTTATTGAAAAGAAACGAATAAGTGTTGTCAGGGCGAGCGTTCACTGGAGAGTCGTTATGATGTGGAGTCCCTCGCAGGTATAAGTATTTGGTCCTTGGCGCCAATCTGCCGTGGTCCTCTCTTCCAGGAACGATATCCCGCGTTGCACATTGTTTCTTGTCACTTGCAACGGGTAGACCGGTCCGAGTGGTGTCAGGCTGGCGCTATTGACATAATACTTAAAATGGGCCGCTTGCAGACATGTGTACCCACATTAATATACATCAACTGAACTAATTAGATTTGAGCAAGTAATTTTTTTTTTCTGTAGAAAAGAATATCACCCTGTAGTTTTTTTGCGGTTTTTATGTAATATTTAGATAAACCCACTAAAAATAGTGCATTTGTGTTTCTTAACTCTCTTTAGTGTCTCGCTTCGTTTTCGAGAACCTACAAAAAAACGACTTGCTCGCTGGGTTTGCCCCTGAAAATTTTGGATCAAATCTAATCGGTTCAGTTGATGTATGATAATATGGGTATACATGTCTCCATTTTAAGTATTACGTCAATAGCGTCAGTCTAATGCCACCCGGACCGGTCTACCCATTGCAAGCGACAAGAAATAAGGTGTAACGCGGGATATTATTCCCGGAAGAGGATCACGGCAGATTGGCGCCAAGGACCAAATACTTATACCTGCGAGGGACTCCACACCACGACGACTCTCCAGCGAACGCTTATTCTTTTGTTTTCAATAAAATACTTTAATTTTTCCGTTGAGAGAGGATTTTATTTGCTGCACACCAAAACCGACCGTCAATAATTTTTTTAAAACTGCAAAAATTTTATTCAAATCGGCTAACGCGTTTTTTTTTAAACTATTTTAATAAATCACCCCGTATCTTGGTAACGCAGCACTTGCGGACCCATGTTCATATGAACTTTTTACATATTTTGCTGAGGGGAATCTCCCCTAGGCTTTTATCGCTTCAACTCAGAAACACCCGGTATACTGAAAGCTAGGGAACACCATGACACCAGCCCAGAAACCAAATTTCTTTAAATTATCTTTATAAACGTGAGTTACAGCTAAAAAAACACTTGTTTCCAGTTTATTAATTGAATTTCAAGAATTTTGATACCACATTTTAAGAAATGTTTCAGTAAAACATTGTTTCAGTTTTTTAAAATTTGGGCCACCCTGTATCTCTAATAGTTTATGTTAATACAGCTAAAATAATTATGAGTGACCTTTAGAAATTAAAATATCGATTTAAAATTTTCAGAATCGAGATTTTTTCAACCTAGAAAATGATGAAATAACGAGAAAAAAGTTAAAAAAAATTCAATTTTTGACGATTTTGGAAATTTTTAAAAATTTTGAGCGACTTCTAAAAAAAATTTTTTGAGCTGATTTTTTGAGGGGGCTCTTGAAACATGATAAACTAACATATTCACGAGACACGAAAAAAAAAATATTCGTTATTTTTGGGCCGCCCTAATTTTCATGTTTTATGATCTAATTCGACTGGAGTATCGGTATAATGCCAGATATCCTTGTTTTTTTCAAGGTAAAAAATCTATGGAAGTTACTCATTATGGGAGGTTGACATTTTAACTCCCAAAGCCCCACATTGCGTATGCCACTGACAATGATAGTACAGCCGAATGAATGCTAGGTAGCCAATTACACATTTTTAAAAAATAAATCCCACACTATATACTCTGAAAAAAAGTGACTATTATACTATAGAAATTTCTAGTAAAAATAATTAAGCTTAGGTTTTTTGAACCTAGAATGTCGGTTTCTGACAGTGGCAGCTTTTTTGGTTGTAGAAATAAATGAAATATGTGATATGCACATTTATATTTAAAGCTTATTTTTATGTTTGTGTCCAACATTACATAGGCTGAATGTTTTTTTTAAGTATGAATAACAAAATTTTAGATGATAGCTTTGTGTGATATTTATTAATTTATATCAAAATGCTTTTTAATATATTTTTTACTTTTTTATTCGAGTTTGTAGTGTCTAACTGAAAAGTGTATCATGTTAAATTGATGTAAAATGAATTATTAAAGCTTTATATTTAGTTTCGTGGTTTGATATTTCACTCCTCTTCCCGATTTTGTCGCAAAAATAAAAAAGGTTGTTCATACACTCAGCAAAAAAATTAAGGGAGCAGGAAAGTTTCCAAATTTTTATGGCATGTATTGAGCTAAAAAAATTTTTTTTTTTGTGATTTTTGAAAGACCGTCAATATGAGGCCTTCTGGTATGTTTGAGAATTTTTTTTTTGTTATACTCGCATTAATTTGAAAAATTGCAAAAAAAATTACTTTCTCTGCTGTTTCGAAATATCGACGACTATGCGAATTTTGCGAAAAGTACCAATGTTTGTAGATGACGAAACCGTTTTCCTTTCCTGAGTCATCAGTTTTATAAAAAATTAAAGAAGCAGGAAGGAGGTTTATTGCTCCTTAAACATCAATTAATGATGATTGAGATGAAAAAAAAATTGTTTTATTTTTCGCGTTGAATATCGAAATTTTGAAAAAAATTTAATTTTTCAAATTTTTTTTGCATTATTTTTTTAAAATTCGAATATCCCTAATGTATTCGAATATATAATTTCAATATTTCAAATGGCCAAATGTTGAAATTAAAAAAAAATTAAATTTTGAATTTTTTTAATTTTAAAATATTCAGAAAATTATACTGAATTTTCTGTTCAATTTTCATTCAGTTCATTCATTTAAATTAATATCCCCAAATAAAACTTCATGCATTTATTTTACACGCATCGCTGTACGATTTATTGATAAATTTTTCAAAAGTTCTCAAGCTTTAAAAACATTTTTTTTCAAAACTTCCAAATTTTTTTGCATTAAAAGAAAATTAAATCTTTGTACAATTTTTTTTCCGACATTTGATAAATATTCAATGTGAAGTTGTGACAAAAATAACGCACAAAATTTTTAAAAATTTGATTTTTTTTCAAAATTCTTATTTTTTTATTTTTTCGGTATTTGATGAGTATTTAACCCGAAATTGTGAGAAAAATAACGCAAAAACAAGCAATAAACTTCTATAATTTTTTATAAAACTGACGATTCAAGAAAAGGAAACGGTTTGACTGATCGATTTCAAAATTTACGGGCCTCATGGGCATGTATTGAGCTAAAAAAAAACTTACAAACATTAGTACGTTTCGCAAAATTCGCAGCAAAGTCGATTTTCTAAAACAGCAGTCATTTTTTGGACTTCCTCAAATTAATAGAGTACAATATTTTTTTCTCAAACATACCAAAAGGCTCTTGAAGAGGATTGATTCAAGTTTCCAAAACCCATCTTCCATTCGCTATAGGATCAGGATCATTAATTTATGAGATATCGATGATAAAAAAAAAATAATGTTTCACTCAATAGCCGATATCTCGGTATGAGAAATAATCGTTCAGAAAATAAAAAAAAAGCAAATTGAAGCTGAAGAGTCACGCTAAATGACCCTGGCATTGATTAAGCCAGAAAAGTTTTCTGAGCGCATGACAGTTTGGAAAAAAAAAATTGTAAAATTTTTGCTTTATATTATTCCTTTTAATTGCAACGAGAATGTTGCTCAAAAAATTTTTTTATCTCAAGATTTCAAAACTAGAATCTTCAAGCTTCAAGATGCTTCTTTTCTTTTCTCGATATCATTATTCCTGAAATTACAGCGTTTCAAAAATCATTAAAAAAAATTTTTTGCTCCCTTAATTTTTTTGCTGTTTATTTAATTTTTTTTTATCAAAACAAAAAGTTTTCTAAATAGGTACATTTCCGCGTGCTTTGATTTTTTTTACTTGAAAGATTCATTCATAACTTTATACAATTTATATTATTAATTTGTATAATATAACTTTTGTGTACTAGATGGCGTGTCAGGATACAAAGCTAAGGACTTTGTAAAGCCAATAGCAAAAGCCACTGTAAATTTACTAAATTTCAATTATTTCCACCATTCGAAGACGAGAAAACTCGAGAAAGACATAACATATTGATGAGTTTCTTTGTAACGGAATTTTACAAATAAAGTGACAAGTGATCTATCTTTCATTATTGAATATTTTATATAGACGTCACTGAATTGTTTCCAACCATAAAATCTACGAACCGATTTAATCAGGTTTGTTTCCTCTGCATTGAATATAACTCACGAGCAGGAGAAAACATTAATTTAAACAGTAACAGACACCCATTAAACATTGCATTACCTGCACAATTGTATAATATTAAACGCTTCATAGGTAATTCCCAAAAAATTCTCAAACATCCATCAAAAATCGACGTCATCTTACTTCATTCCTCACCCCAAAATCAAGGTGTGCTGCGAGGGCGCGCGCACGCGCACTCCTCACCACACACTTCCACTTCGATCAAAACACTGGCGCAGGGCGCAGCGCAAGCCGCTGTCACGCGTTACGCCGCCGCGTACGAACCCGCCATAGTACGACTTTGTACATGGTAGAGGAAGTATTTGTTGTTCCCCGGACTTTCGTCCGAACATGTGTTGATGTTTTGATCGAAGAAAATCCTGGGGCCGAGCTAGGATTCAAGTGATCACGCAACCGATTGCGTTACGGGTTGTTTTGGTTTGCAAACACCGGCGATTTGTTTTGATTTGAGTTTTGTTTATTTCAGTGCAGGACCGTGTTTGTTGTGGTTTTAGTTTGTTTTTTTTCTGTTTTCTTAGTGGATGTTTGAAGTTGGGAGGCCGGCAAACAGGTGAATGTGTTTTTTGTACCAAAGATTGCATGTATTTTTAATTAGATTAGCAATAGAGCCGTTACAATGCACCACAGTGCATACAGTGTTTATACATAACAAATAATTTGTGCAATGAAATTACTCGATTGTTGATTTTT